TCAACATTGATATTTGGATAAACTTTTCTATTGCCGTTACGATTCTAAAGAATCATGTCTTGCTAATATATTACCACTATACATAGTAATATTATGGGCAATTTAAATTATTCATCATATATCGATATCGATATCACGTATTGATATCACGTATTTTAAAAATTATGTTATTAAAACATTGATAGATTTGGTATTTAGATATTTTTACTAAATATCCTGATATAATGATTTGTATATTTAAAAATCTTATAAGGCGTTTAAAAATAATTATGGACTTTCTGTATGTTAAACGGTAATTTCATATCATTATTCAATTCGGCTGATTTGAGGAACTTGACTTTTATTTAAATCCTCCATTTACATCTACTCTTTCAATATATTTGGGTTTAAATACAAGTCCTAATTATTACACATCTGAATTTATATAACTACCAAGTTTTAAAAATAATTGAGGTTTTGGGAATAACGGTCAAATTCAAAAAATCCGCCGAATTGTCATAAGGCTTTCACTATAAGAATCATTTGTCGCGAGTCGAGTATTGGTCAATTTCCTAGTGTCTAGTTAGGACCGGGAAACTTTATTATAGGTCCCGCCATAACAATATTCGTATACTATATACAGTATAGTTCCGAAAATAAGCACCCTTTTTTTGTTAATAGAGGTGCTTATTTTTGGATGTTAAAACCAATAATGTAGGATCGTTGTACTAGATAAACCTGCTTTTGGTTCCTGAGTAAAGTTATGTTCCATTGTCAAGGCGATCCTAACGGCAGTAAAGTCGCCAAAATTGGTTTAATAGAACTTTCGCAACTGCTCTTCACTTTCGGGCGACATTTTCTTTTATGACCTGCAGAACATGTAGGGATCTTGATCTCAGCAATCGTAAGCCGATTTTAAGCAAGTTTATCCAGTCTTCGGTTGATAAAAAAAATTATTTTTCTGTAACCGTATTCAATATAGACTTATCGTTATTAATTTTTATATTAGTTTTTGAGTAATTTAGCTCAAAATCGGCTCACATTTTTTTGCGGGATCGATTAACGTCCTTAAGTTCTATTAAACTAACTTAGATGACTTTACCACAATTGTACTTGTCTTGACCTCGAGAATACTTAGAAGCCAAAAATAGACTTAGTAAAAAAAAACCGTATACACCGTATACGATACACTTAGGTGGTGCTTATTTTTGTATATCATACAAAATTTGGTGCTTAATTTCGGGGTGCTTAATTTCGAAACTATATGGTATTATAAATTTGAAAATAGACTTATCATAGATTCGAATAAAATCCTAGAAGTCTCCACATAGATTAGATTCGCATACGTATGGGATATAAAAAGTACCACTATTAGTTGATTCGACTTATTAAAATCAAAGCACAGGTCCAAAAAATCCCCAATAGAAAATCAACGGGCGTAATAACGCCCATTAATTAAACTTAATTTAGGCCAAAATCCCCCTGCACGTTATTACGCGAAAATACAGTATTAATATGATTCTACAAAATAAAATTTTTTTTTATTATCATCCTTTTTATAGTCACCAGTTTTGCATAAAATATACCGGATGATTATGTAGAAAATTACTATATATAATTAAAAAATTATCTATCACTAGAAAATCTTTTTACAAATTACAATGCTGATTAGGTTAAAAAGTTATTACAAGACGATATCAATTTCTAAAATAAGTATATGGTTATTGAATAGCTTTTTTTTAAAAAAAAAAAAATTAGAATGCTGAAAAAAAAGAGAAAAAAAACCTTCAAATCATCGATAATATCGACTTCATTAAGTCCCTTTGGTCCAATTCTACCATATCTCAAATCGCTCATGTCCTCATTATCCTTTTGATTTTAGAAAATTTATTATCGGACAAATATCCCCATAAACATTCATTGAGGATAACAAAATACCTTTGAATATCCTGAAACAATTCATTACATTCCATCTCCATAACATTAATTTCATCTGTCATTTGCTTTTCTGCAATTGATAATATTTCAATTGCTTGATTTAATGTCAACCGATCATTTGACTAATTAATAAAAATATCCTAAATTAAAAAAAAAATTTCAATCATGAATTCATTTCATTGGTTGTCATACCTCATCTAATGTTTCATCTTGTTTCATATCATATCCATCATATCCTTGTCTTGACAAGTACGACCTTTCCAAAAGTCAAGTTTTTTTACATTCTTCTATCGTATTTTGATGAACTGATTCCCTCGTTGCACTTCTCTCAGTCTGATACTCTTTATATAATGGTTTAATATGTTTATTTTTTCTAATAAGGTTATTAATATTATTAATATTTTTCTTATGGCGCGTCCTGACAAAAAAAAAAGTAATATATTCACCTATACAGCTATAAGAATTAGGAAACAAATTCGTAAATTGTTTAAGAGTTATATTACTTTCAAGTTCACTGTTAAGGAGAAACGGTTGCCATTTATTTTTAGACTTTATGATTTGATACAAAGAAAAGTTGTAATTTTAGTAGCATAGCGGTGGCAGAAAAATTGAGCAATTACTTCGTAACAACGGGATTGAGTATTAGTTATTCGGTATTACGTGCTTATAATAAAAGCTTAAGAAAAATATTAAAAGCTAAGACAAGTATATAATGATATAAACTAACTATCTTATTTTTAATACTGTATAAAAATGTGGACAAATATAAAGAATGTCTAAGTTGAGACTAAAATGACAGTCGTAGTTATGGAAATTATGCAAGATATTTGGATTTTAGTTCGTCATTAGTTAACTGCTAATTTTGTCTTGATTTTTCGATTTTTTATTTTTACTGTTTGATTGGCTGACAATACATGAACATCTAAATGATGTAATTACATCAAATCAATAATCAAAACAATACAACCTTTAGTTTTTTTTTTTATTTTTTCTTACACTTTACCACTTTTTTAATAACAAACTTTTATTATAATTTGTGGTTTTTATTTATCTCAAGAAAGCTACGTCGACTCGTCGGTATATAAAAGGTAACGTATCATAGATGTCTAGGTT